GCCACATTTTCAAGTATATAACTCTTAAAAAGCTATTTTTATCACATACATGTTCTTCCTTTCCCTTTATACATTTATGAAGTATTAAAATAATTTAACAATTTATATTTTACTAAATATAAAATTGTCAATAGTACCTTGAAATTGAGTACATTAACAAACCCACCTACCTTTGAGTCATTTATACCAATCCTCATATGGAAAGCGAATTTTAAAAAAAAGGATTTAAAATAAATCAGATGTAGACAAAATCCAAAACTATGGATTCAAATCAATTAGGAGACAAATCTTCACTCAGTTTTTTCCTAGGCTATTTCTTTCTAATACTTTGAAAATTATTGCAATTAAATTCCAAATCAATTATCTCAAATTTAGCTATTTCTGCTTGTTTTAGGCAAATAGTTTATCTCTTGCTAAATCCCTCAGCCAGTTTTCAATGCTCCTCCTCCTCATTTCAGGAAAAAAAGTTGAAAAGCTTTATATTTGTTTTACCTTTTAAGTTGACAACCAAATGGTATAACACCAACTTCAATACACAAACATTTCTCCCTTTGCTTAATCCTCTCCCTCCCACCCTTAAAATTGTTATTATGGAAAATTTCACACATAAGCAAAGCGAACAGAATTCTACAATAAACCACCATATAAACATTACTCAGCTTCAATGATTAGCAGTATTCTGCCAGTCTTGGATCATCTATACTGCTACCCACTTCCCTGCTCCTCTCTGTATTATTATTTACAACTCTTATGGAAGAAAGTCATACATTGAAATGTACAAATCTTAGCCATACAATTTTGCCAGTTTGTGTCTCTTCCCAGTCCATCCCTACTCTCTATACCCTCACAGAGGCAGTTCTGGTTTTTTTTTTCCCACCTAAATTAGCCTCACCTCATTTAGAAATTCCAATAAATGTAATCAAATAGTTATGTATTCTTTTGTGTCTGCCTCCTTTCACTCAGCATAATAAAATTTGAGATTAATCCATGTTATTTGCACATCAGTGTTTGTTCTTATTTACTGCTGAACTGTATTCCACTGTACACATGTACCACTATTTACCCATTTACCTGTTGATAAATGTTTTGTGTTGTCTCCAGTTTTGGCTATTGTGAATCTAGCTGCCATACGTTCATGCACAACTCATTTTTATGGACACAGGTTTTAATTTCTCTTGGATAAATGCCTAGGAGGGTAACAGTGAGGTCTGTTTAATTATATAAGAAACTGCCAAATCTTTCTCCAGCGTGAATTCTGGTTCCTTCATTTCCTCATCAACACTTGGGGTGGTCATCAGTATGTTACTGTGGTTTTAACTTGCATTCCCTTGACAACTCACGCAGAATACTTTTTCAAATTCTTATCTCTCATTTCTATATTTTCTCCTGTGAAGAGTCTGTTGTAGTCCTTTGCCATTAAAATTTTTTTTTAATACTCTTAAGTTGTAGGAGTTCTTTAAACATTGTGGATATAAGCCCTTTGTCAGAAATCTGTTTGAAAAATATTTTCTCCCAATCTACTGCTTGCCTATTCATTTTCTTAATGGTGTCTTTGAAGGAGTACATGTTTTTAACTTTGGTGAAGATTAATTTATTGTTTTTCCTTTTATAGTTACTGCTTTTGGTGCCCCAAGAAACATTGCCTGTTCTAGATTCTGAAGATTTTTTTTTTTTATGTTTTTTACCCAGAAGCTTAATGGTTTTAAGCTTTTATGTTTAGATCTAGAATCCGCCTCAAATACATTTTTGTATATGGTGTGAGGTAGGGCTAAAACTATGGCTAATTTTTCCTTCATATGTATATCCATTTGTTCTAGTACCAGTTGTTGAAAAGACTTTTCTTTCCCCATTAACTGAGTTGGCGCCTTTATTGAAAACTCTGTGATTGCTGTAGATTGAATGTCTCTCTCCCCCCAAACTCACTGATGCCTGAACCCCACTGTAACAACGTTCAGAGGGTGGGAAATCTGACTATGGCAGTGTTGAAAGGTGGGCCTTTAAGAGGTGACTGGACTGTGAAGACTATGCCCTTGTGAATGGATTAATCCATTCATAGACTGATAGGTTAATGGTTTAGTGGGTTGTCATGGGAGTGGCTTTATAAGGAGAGCAAGTGAGCATGTTAAAGAGCTCTTGCCATTCTTGCCATGTGATATTCTGTGTGCGCCACGACACTCTGT